TCTACAAATAATTTGATTAATCTAAATAATAATAATAATACAGAAAAATGATTAGAATCATTTTGACAAAATAATCATCATTAATGCTAATGAAAATCAAACTGCATGAGAACCATCATTACCATCATCATCGTCATCGTCATCATTGTTATGACTTTATCATCCTCACAATCATTACCTTAATCATCAACATCATTTTGATAATGATGATGATTCTGATTTTGATGACGATGATGATGATTGTGATGATGATTATTATTATCATTATGATTATTAGGATGATTATTATTATAGATCATTATTATTACTTAAGATTTATTTTGTTATAACCATCTGTCAGCTGATGGCTCGATACAGTACAATGCACATGCACGTATGCATGTACGTGCATGTGCATTGTATTGTATTGTATTGTAAACAAATTTTATTGTATTGTATACAAATTGTATTGTATTGTATTGTATTGTATACAAATTGTATTGTATTGTATTTTATTGTATACAAATTGTATTTTATTGTATTTTATACAAATTGTATTGTATTGTATTGTATTTTATTGTATAAAAATTGTATTTTATTGTATAAAAATTGTATTTTATTGTATAAAAATTGTATTGTATTGTATACAAATTGTATTGTATTTTATACAAAACAATAACAACATTAATAGTTGCATAATAAAAATAACGGTGGTATTTGTACTACTAATAATAAAAATAATAATAGCAGTAACAAGAGTAATAATAGTAGTAGTAGTAGTAGTCGTAGTAGTAGTCGTAGTAGTCGTAGTAGTAGTAGTAGTAGTAATAGTAGTAGTAGTAGTAGTAGTAGTAGTAATGGTAGTAGTAGTAGTATTAGTAGTAGTATTAGTAGTAGTAGTAGTAGTAGTAGTAGTAGTAGTAGTAGTAGTAGTAGTAGTAGTAGTAGTAGTAGTAGTAGTAGTGGTGGTTTCATTATATCAACAACCATGAATTAGACGTAAAATGACACTTGGATCAACTCTTACACCTCAATTTGACCTACCATTGTGATCATGATAACGATGACTAACAATGATGATGATGATGATAATGATAACGATAAATTAATGATGATGGTGATGATGATGATGATGGCGGCATATCTATCGAATATTCGTGTAATTTATCCATTCTGTCAAATTTTTTCGAATGTCAAACTTTAGCGTTTACGTTCAACTTAAACACACTGTTTGTGTGTTTGTGGGTATGTGTTTGTGTGCGTGCGTACGTGCGTGCTAACTTGCACACCCGTTTAATGAGTTGTTTACACGCACACTTGACACAATGACTTTTATTGTGCTGGCTGGTTGGTTGAATGGTTGGCTGGTTGATTGGCTGGATGGTTGTTTTAATGGTTGGTTAGTTGGCTGGTTGGTTGGTTATATGTTTAGTTAGTTGGTTTGTTGCTTGAATGATTGGTTGGATGGTTGGTAAAATGATTGGTTGGTTGTTTGGTTGGTTGGATGGTTGGATGGTTGTTTGGTTGGCACACAGCAACAAAAATACATCAATAAGACAACAAAAATTGATAAAACAACCATAACATCCATTGTTGTTGCTTTATTACTATTGCTCGAAACACGACATACAATCACTTTTACTTAATTAGTAATGAATGTAATTAGTATTATTACTACAGTTTCTGCAAGGGAAGGGTCATTTGGTTGTTTGTTTGTAACCGCAGGCTGTTTATTTTGTTTGTTGTTGTTGCTAATGTTGTTGTTGTCAGTGTTGTTGTTGTTGTTGCCAGTGTTTTTATTAGTGTTGTTGTTGATGTTGTTGTTGCTGCTCTTGTTCACGTAATTTAATTGATGTAATTGCTTTTAAGTTTATTGTCGCCTACGCCATTGTATTACATTTTGTTTATTTGTTTACGTTGTTAATGACGTCATTGTTTTTGTTTGCGTCGTCATTTTCACTGTCCAATTTTTGTTAATCTAATTGTTGACGTAATTTTTCATTATAATAACAATAATATAATAAATAGTAGTGATGATAATAAAAATGATAATAATGACAATCACAACAGCAGAAAGAATAATGTCGTCATCATCGTCATTATCGTCATCATAATCGTCGTCGCCGGCTTATCAAATGCACGGCATCCGTTTGCTTTTTAACCACGATTGCAACTCGAGAACATACACGCACACTCACACACATACACACACGCGCACACGGGCATACACACAGAGACACAAATCCAATCGGCATGTACATGAATGGTAGATATTTCAGACTTGTGTATTTAAAAAGTTATTATTCACAAACATTTATACAAAAACCTTCTAAGTTATATTCACACCAACAAATAACAAAAGAACGCAATGAATGCAGTTTATATGTAACATTTCAGAGACCATGATAATTCATGATCACATGATAACTTAGGAACATACAAATATATGACCAAATAATAAAAGTGTACAATTATAAATACAATCAGCGTACACACACACGTACACACACATAGATATTTAAATGCACCTCATCTCGCAGCTCCTATCACGGCCGCCTCATGACGTCACATGACCAACAAAATGACGGATGATGACGTCAAAACATGAGGTTCAAATGTCACCGCGTTTTAATGCATCGTTCCGCTTGGAAGACTGCGCTCATCTCAGGCGCCACTGGACCTTGTCAACAACAACAACGAGACTCTGTATGTTTCGGTGAGTTTGTTTGTATGTGTGTTTGTTTGTTTGTTTGTATGTATGTGTGTGTTTGCACGTTCATGCGTGTTTGTGTGTGAGTGTGTGTAAAAGTATGAATGTGTTGGTGTTGTAATTTTCGTCTGCTATTTAAAGGCACGCACATGCTTTCACAAACATGTATCAGCTTGGGGATTGTACTTCTGCCACAAGATGCACACTATTTACTATAATTTTATTTATTTAAGAAGTTATGTAAAGTTATTTAAACACACACACACACACACACACACACACACACACACACACACACACACAAATACTAACCAAATGTAATTAAGAAACGCTCGCACACAGCAGAAATTCTCGCAGACAAGGAAGCATACATCAACTCCTCCTCGACATGACGACATGAACGCAAGTATGTACGGTACGCATTGCTAACTGCTCAGATGTGTACAGATCAAAGAGTCACATGTGTATAACTATATCCGCACCTACACGCACATACGCACACACATATACACACTATTAAATACACGCACACTATCACACACACAAAAATGTCCCTACCATCGTACACGCATAATGAAGTGACATTTATACATTTTATTTTCATGCAAAAATACATTTTATTTTATAAAACTCATCCATAAACAATTTTTTTTTATAAACCATCAACACACACGCACACATTCAAACATACTGGCCAGTAGAGATAGGCGTACGTACACAGACACTCGCATACACAAAGTAACTAACGAGTAGGTATACACACACATACATACGTTCATACACTCGCAATCATGCATAGACACACACGCAGACATCCAAGCGCACACACGCGCGCACATACACGCACGCACACACATTAGTTATTAAGGCAATGGAGCTTAACTAGCTGGTTAAACAAGGGAGACAGTTCAATTTGCCTGTTCACGTGATGCAATTAATTGTTTGGATGATGGGTCATATCCAGTGTCCATTAATCATTTGTTTGATTGTTTCTATGATTGCTATGTTTGTTCGCACGTTTTTATGTTTGTTAGTATTTGTCTGTATGTTTGCTTGTTTGTATTTTTATGTGTCAGTTTCTGTAGTTTTCATCTATTGCTTCGATCTTCATGGCGGTATGTTATTATTATTGCAGCTCTATTATGTTGTTTGGAAATTGTAAATTTGCTATTATAATGTTATACACTTATGATGTATGTGTGTCTGTATGTATGAGAGTGTATGAATGAGTGTGTGTTGTGTATGAGTGAGTGTGTGTACGTGTTGTGTGTGTTTGTGGTGTGTAAGTTTTAATGATGTTGATTGCCTGTGGTTGGAGTCATTAAGTTAATCGCTTGTAGGAAATGCCTGCATTTGATGTCTGCCTTTGTTTTACTGCCTGTCCATATGCAGCGGTAGGTAGGTAGGCAGGTTTATTTCTTTCCGAATTATTTCATTTTAAGTGTTTTTGCGATGAATTTATAAAGAAGAAATCACAAAAATTGAAATATCATAGTCCTACTAATTAACTACCTACCAATAAAATCAATAAAATATAGTATCATTTTTATATAACATCACCAGTTCAACACAACAATGAAGTACTCAGATGTGGTTTTTGAGAAAAATTATAAAAATCAGTTAGACCTGTCATACCTTCAATGAGGATATATTAAAACAGTCCCGTTATGAAAAGAGGAAATTACTACAGATAATCCGACGGGAGCAGTTGAAGTTTTTTGGTCACATCATTCGGAAGGAAGAATGGAAAATCTAAAAACTACTGGAAAGATTGCAGAGAAAAGAGATCGCGGTCAACAACGAATAATATTCGTGATGTCCTTGTGTCACTTGTTGAATATCACCACATTTCAACCGCTACAAAGTGTTGAAGATCGGGTTTTGTGGAAGTCGATGGTCGCCAATATCCTGAAAGGATAAGACACGCCTAAGAAGAAGAAAGTAATACTTATATATATATATATATATATATATATATATATATATATATATTACAACAATTGATGTGTATTAATTTTATTGTATCAATGATGGTATCAATTGGTCAATAAGAGGTATTGATATAAATTAGTTTGATAATTACGAAGATTTGGTGTTATTATTTAGACTATTTTTTCGTTTAATTGTTAGTTTTTTCATTGAATTTTTTTTTATTAATATGATGAGATTTAATCCACAGTTATACACTATTTATAATTTTAAAAATTTAATTTTAAACTAGCATCTATTTTTATAAACTCAGTTCAACGCTACAGAATGAAATCTAAATCGGTCCTTAAAAAAAAAATAAAAACACGTGTTGTGGTTGTTTTGTTAGTTAAATTTGGGTTAGAATATCTTTTCAATCGTCAATAAATCGAGAAAAAAATGAACGAAAAAATGGAAGAGGAAGAAGAAACATGCAATTTTGAAGATATGGGTCTAGATGACCGAATTCTCAAAGTTATTATTTTAAATTTAAACTAGTTGTTTAGTAATTTAGTTGTTTTTTGTTCACTAGGACTTGGCTTTTAGGTCTTAGGACTTCTTGTTTCTTATTATTACATACATACACCATGCTGACTTTATTTTCAAATGGTTGCATTATGTATGTTCAGTTCACGCTGCCTGGAAAATGTTTATTGAAGAAACTTTATTTTTTGGCATATAAAATAAAAATGAATTTAATTTTGGATAGTACCTTTTTTAAACCAAGTAGCTAGGAAACTAAGATTTTCTTTCCATCTGCAGTTTGTAGAAATTTGCTTACATCTCTGAATCCCCTTTCAAACTTCATACATTTTAAGATTGTATATGGTTTGAGGGCATAAGTTTACATTCCGAACTACAACGTCTGTTTACATTCACTATCTCTCATAGAGAGTAAAATAAGCTCCTCCTACTGAAATTCGAAAAGTGCACTGAGATTAAAATAGATGTATGCGCTTTTGCCTTTTATATGTTTTTATTATAATATTATTATTATATGTTTTATTTTATTATAATTTGTACGTATATTACACGTTATCTGTACGTATATTATAATTTGCACGTATAATTTAGTAAAATAATGTGTATAATGTGTATGTGTGTAAAGTTGATGTGTGTATATGTATCAGGGTTAGGAGCAGGGTTAAGTTAGGTTGTCGTGAAAAAATAATATTGAAAATTAATTGAAAATAGAAGAAATGATTAAATGAAGTATAATAAAATTGTTCGTTCTATATGTTTCGTGTTGTTACGATGATGGAGATGTCGCGTCGGAGGCAGATGATATTACTCAACGATGTCGGCATATTTTTCAATGTAACCTTTTTAAAACAACCACGAGAACAACCACGAGAACTATTTCAATAAATTGATTTTAATAAATTTTAATATATATATATTGTTATTTTAATCAATATATTACTATGTTAACATATTTAAATACGATATAAACGTTTTTAAAATTCTTCTATTTTTATCTCAATCAACTTTCTGCATATTCGTGGGAGGCCTTTTGTAACTCTCTATTAGAGATAGTGATGTAAACAATCATAAATGTAAACAAATTTTAATATTGTAATTCAGAATGTAAACTTATGCTGGTTTGAGTAGTAGTTGAACGCTGTCCTTTCTTGGAGTTGAGCTGAAGGTACTAAAACAAATTAAGTCAAATGATTGCTGATTAAAAATTGTTGAGCTGTGAGACAGCTGTTTGAGATAAATGTAATAATTTTAACAAAAGTTCTGATTTTTCATCTTTTTTTTTGTCACATTTGAAATTATTATAAATGATAAAGAAATAATATACTGTTGGTTACAAATAATTAAAGCATAAATGAATATTAGGCAATCGCCAAACTTGGTTGGAAAAAGCCGACATTGATACAAGAGAAAGCAATCAGTCTTGCATTGGAGGGTAAGGACATTTTGGCCAGGGCTCGAACCGGATCTGGCAAAACAGGGTCGTACGTCGTTCCAATAATCCATAAAATTCTCAAAATCAAACAGGTACGTTTTTTTTTAAATTTTTCTAATATTTTCACTGCAATCCTGATGCACTTGTCTTAATTTTTGTTTTATTTAATAAATATAAAATTAATAATTCTTAAATATTACAAAAAACATTCTAAAATAATTTTAATTGCTCAGAGGGCCAGTGAGCAGTGCACCAAAGCACTCATCCTGGCACCCACCCGAGAACTCTGCAGCCAGGCCCAGAGAAATATTATTGTTGGTAGCTACTACTTCCTGTCAACTCTTTAAAATTTTTTTATTTTTAATTATTTTTACTATTTTATTTATTATTAGCTTAAATGTTATGAAAGTGCATGAGAGATGAACTCTATTGAAATTCGTTTATATATTGCAATTGAAATTTGTAGTTTTTTAAATGTTACTAAAAAAAGTAGGTGGTGAAATTATGAAGTTTTCTACAGAAATTGTTAACATTATTTTAGTTTTGTAAATTTTTAAATAATTAAAATTAAGAGGAGAATTTTACCTAGTACAAATTTGAAAAATAATTTTCAAAGGAGATGACCAGCTGCTGTTCAAGAGATGTCAAGAGTGTCGATGTCTCCACACAGCAACCGTTAAGTGTTCAAAAGTAAGAAGCATCATCATTGCCATCATTCTCTTCTTCTTCTTCGTCATTATTCTTTATCATTATCATCATCGTCGTCGTCATCCTTGTCATCATCATCATCTTTATCATCATCATCATCTTTATTATTATCATCAGCTTCAGTATCATGTTTTTCATCATCATCTTCATCATCATTGATGTCGTTACATTATAGTTATCATATGGTCGTTTACATTGTTGTTGGTTTTTATATTTATATGATGTTGTAATGTTTAGTCGCTATTACTTTGTCATTACCTCTTGTTGGTGGAGTCAAGTTCTTTTCTTCTATTGAGTCAGAGCTGTTTGTAATTAGAATTGGAAATATTAACGGACTGCTTGCATTAACATAACATCAACAACAACAACGACGACATTAAATATTAATGTCGTTGTTATGGTTTTTGTTGTTTTTGGCTACGCTGTCCTAGATTAACGTGGTGGTTGTACTGAATTCTGTCATTTTGAACATTCAACTGGTTGACATGAAAAATCAGACCACCTACATTCAATTATTGCATTATTACTATTGTCATTATTTTTAATAACAACATTAATGATGTCAGTATTCTCACATTAATCGTTAAAATCATTGTCATCGTTAGTGATGTAAGTGACTACATCATTGTAGCCTTCATTTTTTACCATTCATGATTATCATTTTACTTGAGCACTGTCATTAGTTTGGTCGTTATTATTCATGTTATTATGACTGTTATGGTTATTATTTTTACTAATATTGTTTCTATTGTTATTAACGTTATTGTTATCAATTTGTTGCAAAATAGGACATGTAACATAGATTACTGCAACAACAACAACAACATTGGTTATTAGTGTTGTTGTTGTTGTTAATGTTGTTGTGGTTGCGTACATGGTCCTAGATTAACGGGGGGGGGGTGGTTGTACTGAATTCTGTCATTTTGAACTTTCAACTGGTTGACATGAAAAATCAGACCACCTACATTCAATTAGTGGCCTCACCATTTTCTTATCACTTGTAAACGTCATTGTGTTATCACTTATACATTTCATTGTTAATGTTATCATATTTGCTATGCCATTGTTTGTTTTATAGGAAGGATTTAGTTGTCTGATATCCCCCATATCTGCACTTCTGTCATCATCGTCACATCATCATCACTATCATCATTATCATCACTGTATCACTTCAGTCGCTATCATCATCAGTATCACAACCATCATAACTATCATTGATATTATCATATTGATCAACGTTATCACCATTGTGGTGACGACAGACCTCTGCTGACAGAGAAACCAGACATAGTGGTGGGTACGCCGAGTAGAATACTGGGTCATTTGTCGGAGGGCAACTTGCATTTGAAGCCGGGCCTCGAGATGGTGGTCATCGACGAGGCTGACCTCCTCTTCTCATTTGGATACGAGAAGGATATGAAAGAACTTCTCACGTTCGTTATTTCAATAATAATAATAATTATTATTATTATCTTTAGAAGTTTTAATTATGATAGCATGCTTTCATAAAACTGTGATTCATCTCTACTTTTCTGCAAAATCCTTCCCTGTGAACAGCTTTTTTGAGGTTTCAAATTTTTGTTAAAACAACAGACATGCCTTCTCATGCTGCCTTGTCCTGCCTTTGATGTAATCACTTTTAAAGTAATTGACCAGCATATCTCAATATTTCACTGTAATTTTTAACTGTCCATTGAAGAATTTTCAGATATTTTCAGATATAACCTACCCACCATTATGCTTGCAACTGTGAACCAAAAAAAAACAACTGTTTTGTAACTACTTCAAATATAAGTTGAATTTCTCGTGATAGTGTTGATTTATTATAAAATACCTACTTTATATTCAATTAAATGCATTAAATAAATAAATAATATTAATTGTACACAACTACAGACATCTGCCAGAGAGCTACCAAGCTTTCCTCATGTCTGCCACTCTATCAGATGATATCAAGGCTCTCAAGTCTATGATGCTACATAACCCTGTTTGTTTTGTTGCGTTTGTCGTTGTTGTTTGTTTGTTGCTTACTGCATAATTCCATTTGTATTGTTACTTTTGTTGTGGCTTTATTGCTGTTTAGCCGTTGTTATTGCTAAGGGGTTTGTATGTTGGTGCTGATGTTGATGTTGAAACGACAGGTCACACTGAAGTTGGAAGAGCCACAACTTCCTACCATTGAAAAACTAAAACAATTCAAACTCAGGTTAGTTGTATATTTTAGAAAACATTTGACATACAAACAAAATGCCACATACAACTAAACACCACAAAGCAACAATTAAACAAACAGACGATTTAAGCATATGGTGTAACATTGTACATGCTTATCACAGAAATAGTTGATTACGTTGAACTTTGCACAAATGCAGATGTGAGGAGGAGGACAAGTTCTTAACAATGTACGCCCTGCTGAAGTTGCACCTTATCAGGGGCAAGATGATCATTTTTGTCAATAACGTCGATCGATGTTACAAGTTTGTGGGTTGGCTGATTGGTTGCTTGGTTGATTGTTGGCTGATTGATTGGTTGCTTGGTTGATTGTTGGCTGATTGGTTGCTTGGTTGATTGTTGGCTGATTGGTTGCTTGGTTGATTGTTGGCTGATTGGTTGCTTGGTTGATTGTTGGCTGTTTTTTCTGTTGGGCGGTTGGCTGGTTGATTGGTTTTTCAAATGATTGACTGGCTGACTGGCCGGCTGATTAGTTGACACATTGGTTGGTTGGTTTGTTGTAGAATGATAGAATGTTTGAATAGATAATAATTGAAGGTTTTATGGATGATTTGTTAGTTTTTAACATTCAAACTTCTTTATGAAATACGTAATTTTTATGTACCTGGCTTGGAATATTTTAACAAATTCAGTGGACTTTCAAACGTTTTTCCTCTACCAGATTGAAGTTGTACCTGGAACAGTTTAGCATTTCAACGTGCGTTCTCAACTCAGAGCTGCCTGTCATATCCAGGCACGGCCATTTCTTTTTAAATTAAATCATCTTTCAATTTTTCACCAGTGGCGCAATTGACATCCTAGATTATTAATAAATAAATAAATAAATTAATGAATGAATAAACGAGCTATAGAAGGAAATGATTAATTCAACATCAGGTGATGAGATGTGTCATGATGGTGTGATGTGCTAGGATACGATACGTGATACGACATACACGATGATACCGATGGAATGATACGATGCGATATGCTGTGCCGTGATGTGATTGTATGAATGTGATCTGATGTGACGAATGACATGAAGACATAACTTGATGTGATGGCACGATCCAACATGGCATAACATACACGACAGATGCCACATAGTGAATCAGTTTAACGAGGGTAGATATGAAATCATCATAGCTGCTGATGAAACGTCGTTGGAAAACCCCTCCAACAGAGCCAACAACAACAAAAATAAGAGGTTAGTACGTCAGTCGACTTTGTATGTAGTATTGTTGTTGAAGGAAGTATTTTGCGTGTATGGTACGTCCTACCTCGGGGGAACTGGGTCTCTGGACGCTAAACGAAGATTGATTGATTGATTAATTGATTTGTGTGTATGGTGTTAGTTTAAAATGTTGACTTTGAATTTAGAAAAACTATTTTATTTGTATTTTTACGAATTTCTGATTGCAAAATCATGAGTCAAGAATTACTGAAGTAAGAATAATTTTTTTTGATGCCTAAGTGTGTGATGTCGTTGCTGGCTCTTTTGCTGTAAGCATTTTGTCGTCGTCTTTTTGTTGATGCTTTCACAATAATGATGAATACACTAAAATAAGTAAAAAGTTAAGTTAACTTTTAAATCTCCTAATTAGGTTCAGAAGGAGAGATTACGAATCAGGCATATCGAGGGGTATAGATTTCAGGAACGTGACGACGATTATTAATTTTGACTTTCCGCAAAGTGTTGAATCGTACATACACAGAGTAGGAAGGTGACGTAATGTAATGTAATGTAATGTAATGTAATGTGGTGTGATGTGATGCGATGCAATGTAATGTGGTGTGGTTCTACGTGATGTGATGCTTGTTGTCTGGTGATTGTGATAAAGAAGATGGTTACAATGATAATGAGTACGATGTTGATGGTGATATGGTGTTGGATGGCATTTTTTTTTCAAAACTTTTTTGTGTGCGTGCGTGTGCGCCCGTACATTTGATTTGAAAGATGTTAATTATGACGAAAATAACAATCATGATATACTGTATATATCTATAACGAAAATGAGGATCATGATAGTGGTAATGATGATTTTTGACGATGCTTATGATGATTTTTCCAGGACTGCAAGGGCAGATGCCAGGGGAATGTCCCTGAGTCTTGTGTGCATGAAGGAGACGGCAAGATTGGAAGAGGTGGAGAAGTTTCTCTTGGACTCCTATCGTTAGTGTTCTTGTATGGTTGTATGTGTGTTTGTTTGTTTGTCTGTTTGTTTGTGTGTTTGTTTGCTTGTTTGTGTGTTTGTTTGCTTGTAACTCATGCTTGTTCATTCGGTCATGTTTATATGCTTGTTAGCTCAAGGCCTAACTGAATTCAAGTTTGATATGGAAGAAGCTTCTGGACTACGCTACAGATCCGAGGTACCATCACAGTCACTACTTGCTACAATTTACATTGCCAACATTTCTTATTTTAACTATTTACTACTGCTACAAGCCCCGAGCTAAAGTCGTCACAATCATCATCTTTATCACATTATCGTCATTACATTTTTCATCATTTTAGCCTCATCACTCTCACCAATGTACTTGCTCGTTCTATTTAGTTCATAGTGGAAACTTATATTAGCCATCACTATCATATCATTGTTATCATCAACCACACAGCCCATCATAATCTTACTCGTCACGGTCATCATTGTCATCATCACTTCACAATTACAAAATGATGACGTTACATTAACCAGACAGCCCGGAGATCTGTAACGAAGGATGCGATCAGGGAGGCTAGGAGGAAAGAAATCAAAGTCGAAATGCTCAATTCTCAAAAATTGAAAGTCCGTTTCTTTTTTTTTGTCGTTACTTCACTCATTCATTCATTCATTTGTTTATTTAGTCGTTTATCCATCTATTCATTTCTTCATTCTTTTATCAATTTTTTCTCATTGTTATATTGTTAAAATTTTTTTATTAATTTTTCTACTTTATTTTTCTCATTTGTTACTCAATAACCAATTGCATCACGAAACACAAATCCAATCAACCAATCACATCGGGGTACTATCATCCAACCAACCAATCACACACACCGTAGTACTATCATTTATTCAACCAATCGCAATGCAGACCTACTTTGAAGACAACCCACGTGACTTGCAAGTACTGAAGCATGATAAAGTACTGCACGTGGTTAAAGTACAACCGCATCTGAAGAATGTCCCTGACTATTTAGGTATGCACATTGGCATCTACCTCTTATCTAACATTATTTCATATATTATAATTATTATATAAATTATGAGTTATAATATAATTTTCATAAATGTTTTCATATTTTTTTTTTTATGTATTTTTCAGTGCCTCAGTCATTGAAAAACACCGCAAAGTATTATCCAATGAGAAAGTCGCATACATTGGCCAATGGGAAGAGGGCTTTTAAGTCGCGGGGACAGGCCAGATACCAGGTTGATCGAGTGGTTGATTGGCTTCGAGATGATTGGTTGTTTTCGGTTGGATGGTCACTGATTAGTTGGTTGGATATATTTCATTTGCTGATGTTCTGGTTGAGTTTTAAATATCCGTAATGATAAATGGTTTAGCAAAATTGTTATTTGTTTATTTATCTGAATGAATGAACAAATGAATGAACAAACAAATGAACAAACAAATGAATGAATGGATGAGTAAGAAATCGTGAATGAATAGCAAAATTACTCAAGAGTATATAACATAACTTCACAGAAACAACAGGCAGATCCTCTCAAGAGTTTCAGTTTTGAGCCAAAGAAAAAGAAACGGAGAACGAAATAAAAACAATGAACAAACTAATTGTTATTATTATTACCATTGTTGTTTTAATTATTTTTATGAACGCCTTCATATTTTGGTTTATCTCATTCGACATCATGTAAAATACACAATATGAAACCAGGCAAGCAGTGTTTCGTCAACTCCATGAATGGAAAAAGATACAATTTAGAAATTCAGAGATTGTGTTAGATTGGTCGTAAAGTGAACAGTTGTAACAGAATGAAGCAACGACAAAATGTCAATAATAAGTTTATATTTAAATAATATCAATAAAAATAATACTAAATATAACAATGAATATATCCAAGAAGTCTCGCGATATATAACATTGAATATTTGGAAAAAATGCGAAATAATGTCTATTTAGTGTCTGAAGCGTACATGTGTGTGTGTGTAGTGTGTGTTTGTTTGTGTGTGGGTCGATTGGTTTGTTCGCATCAAACAAGTTTCAATGTAAAAAAAAAATAGTTGAAATGTGACTTTGCTAACGTAATGTCTGAAAAACGAAAAGCGATGATAGTTCAATTGTGGCACATGCATTCACGATGGCTATTACGATTCATAATTTAATTTTTAAATAGAATTGGATGGTTTCTAACTTGCAAGCAGCAAGATTGTCAGGTAGAGTAAGTAAACAGATAGGAAAGATGAAAAACGAGCAAAAATATTTTTGAAAACATGATTAAGCAGCGATGTTAAGTAAGAATAACACAATTTCTAAATATCAATATTGAGCCAAAAAATACCGTTACTTACTGATGGTACATTAATGTTCGTAACAAGAATGCTCGTAACGTGTACTTGCTAGCTTTCAATCAAAAATCATTTTGATTACGCATTTTTTGATAAAGTTTGAGTGTGCCTGAATCGCTCCGTTTGGTGTGGGATCATTTATCAGCGTTCCTGATGTACAAATGTATACACATTTTGATGATTCCTCTGCTTAATTTATCCCAATCTTGATTCCGTTTTTGATAAATTTATCTACTTGTTTGTGCATGGTGATAAAATGGTGTTCCTGAAATTGAATTTTTATAACTTTGTTTAAATAGATCTCCGTAATAAAACCTTTCGTCAACGCCTTGCTTGCCCACACACAGTATTGAAATTTTGATACGTGGATCGACCTTTTTTTGATTGTGCTCTGAAAAACAGTTCCTCTACTAATTACTACATTTTACCACGCAAGTAAAGATAATTTTAAGGATCTAATGTAAAAGTCTTCAATACGCCTTATTTTCATTCCGACAGGCACAAAGAACATGCACCATTCACAAAGCAGTTATATAATTATTATAGAAACGGAGAGTTAAGGTTAATATTAACCATCAAAATATTTTAAAAATTAATCTATATAGCTACACTCCTAAAAAATTTACCGAACATTCGTGAAACACTTCACAGAACTACAAATGTTATACCAGTTTACTGTGATGACAATTAAGATATCATTCGTGCTAGTATGAAACAGAATCAGAAAAAAAAACTTTGGCCGTAGAAACTGAGGAGAAATGCACAGAAAACAGATCAAGATAGATATTATTTAGCATTTAGAATAATTTTACATCAAACATTATCATTCATTACCTTTGATTACATCTTTTATTGGTACAATTAATAATAAATAAAGTGATAAACATTGCAAATGTACGTACATGTATTGTATATATATAGTGTTGACACATACATATTTTTGTTCAGTGCTGGTAAGTTGCATATATATTTCATCAATTAACCATTACGGTGTTAGAAAAATTGGGGTTGTATGATGTTTTGTATGAAAAACTTGATATCATATCTGTCATTATCAACTTCCTTATCATCATATAACATCTTTGATAGATATCTTGATTACTTTGCTCCATTTACAGCACTGGTCAACATTTTTTGTAATGATATCACAATCATATATATTACATCATATCAAATCTGTATCATCACCGTTATCATTAACGTTATCACAGTTATCAAGAATCCCATTATCACACATATATTTATCATTAAGTTTTGCACATCATTTTAATCACATGGTCACTCGTAGAAAGGCTAGTAACCCAAGCATAGCCACTGGTTTCAACATCCATGTTTACAATACCGTTACTGTTGTAATTTGTATCAAAATCACCATTCGCCACCACCATCAATGTTTGCGTCCTTTATAATCACATCACCATAATCACATCATAACATCCATCCGTCACCATCACATCCATCGTTGTTTCCATCACCATCACATCAACTACTTTCACACGTTATCACAGTTCATCGTCACCACATCTTAATTATTATACATGTCAATCTCACCTTAATAACACCCTAATCACATCCCAATCTCACCTTAATTACACCATAATCACATCACCATCATACCAACCATCACCTACAAAGATCGAGAACCTCCTTCATAAGTGGCTGTATCCCTTGTGGATTCAACTTAAGAAGTACGTGGTTATGCTCCTCGTTTAGACTCCTGACATCTGTCAACTTGAGGATGAGTTTGGGATAGAGTTGGCGGGCCACGCTAATGGGGTAACGAGAGTTTAGATACTTCTTCAATAGTTGACAGTATCTGATTGGGTGGGGGGGTATAGAGGTTATTTTTATTTTTGTTGTTTGTTGCTATAGTGTTGCTGGCTAGGGCAGTGCTGTGAAATGTCCATACTAAAATACTCTTACCACAAAAACTGTTGTTGTATAATAACTATTTGTTATTGCTACTACTACTACTAATGTTGTTGCTACTACTAACTACTACTTTTTTATCATTACTACTATTACTACAATTACTACCTTTACTACTGCTACTACTACTACTATTATTACTACTACCACCACTACTACACTACTACTACATATTACTACTACTATTACTACAACTAGCACTACTACTACTACAACCGCTACTACTACTACTACACCTACTACTACCACTACTACACATTACTACTACTACTACCACTACTACTACCACTACTACCACTACTACATAATACATCTACTACCACTACTACTACCACTACTACTACAACAACAACTACTATTACTACTAATATTATTACTACTACTACTACTATTATTACTACTACTACTACATATTACTACTACTACCACTACTACTACTACCACTACTACTACTTATTGCTACTTCTATTAGAACCTCTCTTGCTGCGTGGCGATGTATAGTCTCTCATTGAGGTTTTCCCTATCCGAGGAGAAGAGAGCCATGATGAGTAAAAGGATGAGGACTGTCTCGTCCGCCCTCAAGTCAAACACCAGTGACCATATAAACTTCATGTGGTCTTCAAATAAACCTACGTCACATTGGTGTGTGTGTGCGTGTGTGTGCAAATGTGTATAAGTGCAGGTCTGTGTGTGTGAATGTGAATATTTGTAAGAGTGTGTGTGTGTGTAAGTGAAGGTCTGGGTATGTGTGAATGTGAATATTTGTAGGTGTGTGTGTGTGTTTGTGTGCGCGCGCGTGTATAAGTGCAAGTTTGTGTATGTGTGAATGTGATTATTTGAAAATGCTTGTGTGTGTGTAAGTGCAAGTCTGTGTATGTGCGAATGTGAATATTTGTAAGTGTGTTTGTGTGCGCGCGTGTGTGTAAGTGCAAGTTTGGGTATGTGTGAATGTGATTATTTATGTGTGTGCACTCGTTTGTTCGTCCGTGTTTGTTCGTCTGTGTCAGTGCTTCTGTGCTTAAGTGTTCATGCTCATGTGTGTGTGTGTGTGCGTGTGTTGTTTGAAGTGTGCGTGTTATCCTCTTTAAATGGAAACCTGTTGAATATGATAATAATAAATAAAATAACAATCTTCAACACAACCAACCAGTGCCATGTTCGGCTTCTTTCAGTTGCTCCAGCTTCATTGCTCTACTTTCTTCAGGATCAAGAGGATCCAGGAAGTGCTTCTTCTCCTTTATTGAATGTTGGAGTGATGGAAAAACAAAAAAATGGTTAATTCATGGGTGAAAAATTGACAAACTCACAGTTGAATTACTGTTGGATTAATGATAATCTCGTCAATAAATATAAAACTATCAATTTGAAAGTTTCAGCAACCCAAAGAGACATTGCTACTAATGCACATTTACGCAATTAAAACCTCAGTCACTGATCCAATAGACTGGCCGACCAGCACTCCAACCAACCTTATCAAAAGTGATAACAGATCTCAATATGAGCAGCTCAATACTTCCGCCCTTCAACAGTTGTATCTGATCCTCCTGAGGTAGGCACCTGAAGGAACCGATCTGCTTCGTCATCGATATGACTCGTCTCATACTCAGCTCAGCAATGTTCACCTTTGTTAAATGCAAGCGTTGTATTCATTGTGCATGATGTTGAATTAATAAATTGAGATGGCTCTGTTTCTAAAGTGCACATTTTTGTGTATATACTGACCAATACTGTGGTATATGTAGATTGTTGTCAACCAATGAACTAACAAACCGTCATCAAATCAACCAACCAATCAGAACCAACCAACCAAACCTAAGAACTAACTACCAACCAAACAACCAACCAATTAACCAACCAACCTATTAATCAACCAACCAACTCACCAGATCTCGCATGTCAGCTTGATCACGTGAGCAGTCACCATTGATATCATTGAGGTAGTTTGTGTCCAGGGACATCTTATAGGCTGCCAGTAGCTCGTCAATGGAGTTCGAGTCCTCCCCTCGCAGGGCGGTCGTCTGTGACGTCACATCTCCCGAGCCGAAGATTGGATAGGGGGAGGAGTCTGTCTGACGCATCAATCTGATTGATTGTGGGTTGGTTGTTGTGGTTGGGTTGTTTTGGTTTGGTAGTCGTTTTTGTTTTTGTTTGGAGATGTGTCGGTTTTTATTGTTGTGTATGTTGTTGCTGTTGTTGATTAATGTAAGTAGCTACTGTTGTGTGTATTGTTGACTTTTTTGAGATCGTCTTCCTTGCTGTCATCTTTGAAATCATCATTCATCGTCATTGTCGTCATCGCAATGTGCAAATAACATAAATCAAAAAGCCTCAAGACAGTTCAAAAAAGATGAAGAAAAAATACTCAAAATGATTTGTGTCTTCGTGTGCACAGTTTGCGACATGCCATAGTTGGATATACATGACAATATGGCTGTTTTTTGTATGTTTGTATGTATGTATTCTATTTGTATGTATGATTGCATGTACGTATGCATGTACGTGTGCATGTACTTATGTATGTATGTATTTTTGTATGTATGTAGGTTTGTTTGTTTGCTTGCTTGCATGTTTAAAAATATTTATTTGTATAGTATGTATGTTTTGTATAGCTAGACCCATCAATTGAGAAACTAATAACAACGATATTGTAAACAATGATACTAAGAGCAATAGAACAGAAAAACATAAAACAATACAACCAGAAAACAATTTCTGTCTAATAGGATGTCTGCACCTAATGTCCACTGTATGGTATTAAAATATTGTTGATGCTATTGGGATTTTGTTGTTGGTCTCTGCTGTTGTTGTTGTTTGTTTTTTTTGTTAATGTTTTGAATTTGTTGTTGTTGTGATCGTTGTGACTGGGATTGTTGCTGGTGTCATTGTTTGTTGCCGTCGTTGTCGTTGTTGTCGTTGTTGATGTCATTGTTGTTGTCATTTAATACTTTAAAACAATAAAATAACATCGGATACAACAACAAAACAAAAAACAACAACACTGTAAACACCAACATCCACATTCACGACAACATTTCCTGCAAAAACAACAGCAGTAACAATAACACAAACGTGAACAACAACAAGGGCCAACAACACGAGCGTGAACAACAACACGGGCCAACAACAACAACAAAAACAATAACAACAGCAACAACATCTCGCCAACATTTTGTATCTGTTAGCTTCGATCTTCTGCCTTTTGAGTGCCTTCTCCTCGTCACTCAATATGTACTCCCGTCTCATCCCAATCTCAAAACATTTCTTCAGCCTGCATCAGCAACAATTATTTTGAATCAGCAACAAGCAACAACTTGACAAATACGCTCAGCAACAAGATTAGCCTGCGCAACATCAACAACAACAACAACAATAAAACACACAACAACAACACTGACACACACAACAATAACAAAAACATTAACACAGACAACAACAACAACACTAACACACAACAACAAGTACACTAACACACAACAACACACACACAGACACAACAGCAACATTATACACACCGACAACACTAACACACATAGCAACACACACACACACACACACACACACACATACAACAAAAACAACACTAACACACACAGCAACAACAAAATTTTCAACAACCGCAACAACTCCAACGACAACACTAACACACACACACAACAACAACAACACTAACACACACAACAACAACACTAACACACACAACAGCAACACATACACATACAACAAAAACAACACTGACACACACAGCAACAACAACAACACACATATAAAACAACAACACTAAACACACACAACAACAACAAAATCATCAACAACCGCAACAAAACAAACCATCAACAACACACGCACAAAACAACAACAACATCATCAAAATCATCAACAACACACGCACAAAACAACAACAACAACAACACACACGGCAACAACAAAATCATCAACAACCGCAACAACTGCAACAACCTGCAACGCTTACAGAACCGACGGTTGGAGACATCCATCCTGCACCGACCATCGTAAGCACATTTGAAGTAATCCTACACGTATTCGCGATGATAATGAATATGATGACGTTGTTGTTTGCGATGACTTGTTGTTTACGATATTGTTGTTTAGAATGACGTTTTTGTTTATGATTTATAACGTTCATTATGTTAATAACGACATTTATAATGATTAAATAATGTTAATAATGAAACCACCATTACTGCATCACCATATATTGTTTGCTTCAGTCGTAGGTTGGTAATGTAAAAAAAATGACGCTAAACGAGAAGAAACACACTCGAGAGAGTAGTCACAGACAGAATAGTCACCATCTTTCAAGGTTAACAGGCATTTCACCATTCTTATTTGAAAAAAACGTTTACACATTTGTGTAGTTTATAAAAAAAAACTAGGTATGGTGTAACCTATGAAGAGTTTTGGCTGACAAAATTAAATGGTTTACGTCGCGTGGTATATAGTATTAATAAATCATCTGTGACACAATAGTCTACGAAAATATCAAAAAATGATTCTGCGTGTACTAAAGCTGTATAATGAAAAAATCCGAACAAACCAGATTTTTGGGAGCGTTCCTCCTAAAAAATGCCTTGCACGACTCGCACGAGATGGCGTCAAAGTTGTAGCTGAGAGCCCGGTCACCACACACGCCACACACCTTGTCGTTTTTTTCTTTTTTGGGTCCTTTTAGGCCGTTTGTAGTGTTCACGTTGTTGTTGTTTGTGTTGTTCAGCAGGTTGTTGTTGTTTGTGTTGTTCAGCAGGTTGTTGTTGTTGTTGTAAATATTGTTGTATGTGTTATTGCTGCTGCTGTGGCTTATGCTGTTGTATATGTTGCTGAAATTGTTAAATATGCTGTTTTTTTGGTTGTTGTTGTTGTTGCTGTTGGTGGTGGTGTTGTTGTTGTTTAAGAGGTGGTTGTTGTAGTGGTAGTGAAAAAAATTTGTCGCTGCACCGGGAGATATTTTTTCACCGTAAAATTCATTTTGATAAAACGTTGGAGTTGTTGATGATTTCGGCGTTGATGGTGAGGATGACGATGTTGATGACGCCGTTGTCGTTGTTGTCGTTGTTGAAAACATGGCTGCGATTTTGTTGCCTATGTTGATGTCGTTGTTGCTGCTGTTGTGGTAGTAGTAATGGTAGTAGTGGTTGTTGTAGTGAGGATGTTGCTGTTGATTGTGAAGTTGTTGGTGGTGGTATGGTTGAAGTGAGAATGGATGGCAATAAGATTTGTATGGTGATTTGTTGATGTGGTGTTGATCATTATGATGATGACGACGATGATGATGATGATGATGTGAGTTAGGCGTCATCATCATCATATCAAAACGCGTTAACAAAGGCAGAGTTGTGTGGTGGTAATGATCTTTGTTGTTGTTGTTGTTGTTGTTGAGTGAATCGAATTCGTTGGCGTTTGTGTTGTCGTTGTGGCAGTTTTCGTTGATGTGGTTGTTGTAGTTTACAGAAACATCACTGTTGTAGCTACAGCTGTGGTTGTTGTGGTTGCGATTTATGTGGACGTTGTTTTCAGTGCTACTATCATCATCTTTGTTGGTTTCGTTTTTGTTGCTGTTGCCTCCGTTGTTAGCAGTTATCATTATTTGTTGCAGTAACGGTTGTTGTTGCGTTTCTTTTACACATATAAATGTTTCATCACATACAAACTTGTCTTTTTTTTCTGGCGTCTTCAATTTGTTAAAAAATTCTTCATTGTCCTCTTCATCATTGCTGTGTCAGATTAAAGTATTGAAAATAAATCCACTAAAAATTATTTAAAAACTGTGACGTGTTATCAAAAAATCCAGCAAGTGGTTTGGCTGGAACAAGAGTTCCATATAGTTTCACTGGTGAAGTGTCACGTCAAACGCATGCTCTTTAGCGGCGCCCGGTTTCAAACACAGAACAAATCAATAGAATTTATTACTGGTACTAAATGCTGATAAAGTTTATACACTGGTGGTACCAGGAATATAATCGCATAATTTTGTTCCCGGTACGTTGTAAAACATAAAAATAAAGCAACTTCACTAAGAAAAGCATTTACATTGACTGATTTCAAGTGTAAGTATACAGAATTTTTTATTTAGTAGTGATAAAAAGGTGAAATTATGATATAATAAAAAATTTTTCTGGAATTCGGAACCCGGAGTCGGAAATGGGATTTTTTTGAGGGACCCTCAGCTTTGGAGTGGAATATTTTTCATCCTGACACACTGATTATAAGTTTGAGTGAATGACTGGTTGATTGTCACATTGGTTGATTGTCACATTGGATGGCTATCAGGTGTGATCCCAGTTGATTCAAGTGTGCCACGTATGATCATAATAACAACATCATTAAATAGTTATCAAATTTTTACTAATAATAGTTATAATAATAAAATATTAATAAAAATTTGTAAAAATAATTGATGACAATTTTTTTTACTTTGTTAACGACAATATCATATACAACTATAATAATAACAACAATAAAAACAATATTTATACGAACAAAAAGAATAATAAAAAATAATAACAATAAAAAAGTACAATAATAAGAATAATAAGAACAATAATAATTTCATTAAAATAGTTAAATGTTGTTCAAGCATAGTTATGTGTTTTGTGTGTGTTCCCATTACACGTTATTACCCTCCCTCACTCTCTCTCTCTCTTCTTTCTCTCTCTTTAATTTTCTCTTTTTTTGAAAATAGATTGATATGCACTGGAATGAATTGCAAAGTCGTTTTATAGAGATTTCACTCACGCCTTTCTCACTCTTTCTTCTTTTTCTTTCTCCCTCTTTCTTTCTTTCTCTCTCTCTCTCTCTCTCTTAATTCTTTATTTTCTGTCTTTCTTTCTTTTTCTGTCTATCTTTCTCTCCTTCACTCTCTATTTCCTTCTTTCAATCTTTTTTCTTCATTTTGAATTTTTTCATTATTTCTGTCTGTTAGAATTCATTCCTATGAAATTTTTAACGCAAGTGTTTTTATTATCATTATTATTATTATTCTTGCTTTTATTATTACTATTATTATTTTCCTCTTTACCTTATTAAATTTTTTTATAAGCCGGTGTAATTTGATGATAAACTCCTTAGATTATTACTGCCATCCTTCCTACCTACCGCATGCACGATGGTGGTGAAGACGATGACGACGATGATGATGACGATGACGACGATGAAGATGATGATAGTGACGATTATGATTTTGGTTATAGTGATGATGATGATGTTGGTTATAATGACGATGGTGATGATGCTGGTTATAGTTATAATGACGATGATGATGACAATGTTGGTTATAGTGACGATGATGATGATGGCTATAGTGATGATGGTGATGATGATGTTTGCCATTGTGACGATGATGATGATGTTGGTTATAGTGATAATGATGATGCTGCTGATTAAAATGATGATTATGATGATGCTACATGATAAGGCTTATGAACTTCGGGATGACGAAGATGATAACATTGGGTAAAGTTATTTTTATAACAATGGTGTTGATACTTATAATTGATGACGATGATATACTATGTTAAATAAAATGTTCATAAATATTTAGCTCAGACTGTAAGAGTGCCATGCCTAGTGCCATATTATTGCGTGACGACCTGGGTCGAATGCGGTCTGTCTAAAACATTAAAAACTTCCTATGCATATGGTTGTGATTCTTGGATTCTTAGCAAAGAAAAAAGAATTTTTTGGAATGAACTATAATTTGGAACAACATATACTGACGTCAAAGCAACCCATCGGACTAACCAACCGCCAAAATGTAAATTACAAAAAAATCAAAACAGATAGGAACTTCGTATAACTGGCTAGTGGTCTAAAAGATGTGAAATTAAAATATAAGGTTAACAGCAGGACGGTCGCTGTTCAACACGCTTCAAAATTTCTTTAGAAATATGAATTAAACTAAAAATGGCCAATTATACAGCTTTCTCATCGTCACAATTCACGTGCAGATAGATAGATAGATTTCTTCAATCGTATGTTTATCGTATAAGGTATGTATCGTACATTTGGGTAAATGTGAAGGCTAGGGAAGCTCACAGTAACAACGTAGATCAGGGGTGGGCAAACTACGGCCCGCGGATCGCATGCGGCCCGCAAAGCTATTTTATCATGCAGTCAATTTATTATAAACAGAATATCATGATGGAAAATCGTGATAAAAAATAAAGAAGTCTTTTTCTCCTCAATTTATTTCAACCTCGACATAAATGAACGAGACAAAAAGAGTTCCGATTAGCAACAGAAACCCTTTCTTCTATTGGTCCATGAGTCTTAATCGACCGGCCCATTATGGCAGAATAAGGATTAAGATTGTATGAATGGGAGTTAATCCTGGTGGCAATGTAGTAGGTAATTGTTATGGGGAGATTTAATAGTGGGGTGACATTTCTATTTTATAGTGTAAATTGTAAAAGTTGCAAATGAAAAGTAAGTACAACTGTAACAAATGAATGAATGAATGAATAAATGATTGAATGGAAGGTTGGATGGATGAATGAATAACGAACAATTAAACAAACAAACGAACGAACGAATAAATGAAAAAACCTGAACTAAAATGAATGGACAAAAAAAATGAAAATTATTTATTAAATATAGGAAAACATTGTCATAAAACAAAAAAATATTGTGATTTAACTTATGAAAAAATGAAATTTGTTAACGTTAAAGTGAACACACGAACAAATAACTAACTAACTGAATAAATAATAAATAAATTAATTAATTTGATAATTAATAACACATTTAATTAATCACAATTACTTATCTTAATTAGTTTTAAGTGCAACAGGCAGTCATACAAGCAGGCATACATACACATTTCAGCTCCAACTGCCATCGCGTACCTGCTAATTGCCTCATTCTATGGTTTGTATATACGTTTGTATGTTTTGTTTGTATGTATTTCAGTATATTTTGTTTGTTTGTATGTATTTTTGTATGTTTTGCTCAAATGTATGTTTGTTTTGTATGTAGGTAGATATGCGTGTATATAGTATACTTCTTATGATTGTTTTTGTATGATAACGTGAATGTGTATGTATGTATGTATATATTGATGTATATTATAAATTTTAAGGTATGCACTCATATTGCAAATCAATATAAATAATTGTTAAATGAAACTTTAAAATAACAATGTGAATTAATAATTCATATTCTTGCATGCCAATGATAAATATTCATATTCATTGATCTCTAACATCAAGGCTTGTTCTGATTGGTTGTAGCCTTAAAATGGCAACGCCTACGTGAAGCCCATCTAGCCAATAGCGTGTCGAATTAACTTTCAGTGTTTTAACATGTAGTTGTTTAATTTTTAAAAGTTTAAACATTGCATAAACAGGGTTAAACGAGTGCTAGCACATAAATCAAATGTTGCTATTATGCTTGGCAACACACAGCACAAGTTACGCCGTATAAATATTACTAACATACTCTTATATATACTCACACACAATACACATATTTGTATTATATATATATATATATATATATATATATATATATATATATGTGTGTGTGTGTGTATGTGTGTGTGAGAGTGAGTGGTGTGTGTTTGTGTTTAACGGGATACATTCATTCATCTGAATATATTAATTAGCTTCTAAATGCAACTTTGTGATACCTTAATTATGTGTATATGTTTGT